AAAATAATTTATCAAGGGGTCCCGAGGGTAGGGGGAGGGAGGGAAAAAGGAGGAATTGCTATCAAGGGCTCAAATAGAAAGTAAATGTTTAGAAAATGATGATGGAAACACATGTACAAATATACTTGATACAATTGATGTATGGAATGCCCTAAGAGCTGTAAGAGCCCCCAATACAATTATTTTTAAAAATTTTACCTAGAGCAGTGGTTTCTTAACCTGTGGGTCATGATCCCTTTGGGAGTTGAACAACCCGTTCACAGGGGTCGCCTAATTCATAACATTAGCAAGATTACAGTTATAAAGTTGCAATGAAAATAATTTTATGGTTGGGGGGGGGTGTCACCACAACATGAGGAACTGTATTAAAGGGTCACGGCATTCAGAAGGTTGAGAACCACTGGTCTAACCCCTTCTCCACCATGGGATCTTTTCATTCTGCATGCACTCAAAGCACAGTGTGATACAGAACTGGAAGGAGCCCTGAAGAAGAGTCCTCGCTCTTCATCTGTCAGGTGTGTGTGTACTTGGGCAATCCAGGGCCTAGGAAACCATCGTTTAGCTGCAAGAAGTATATAATGTCATAAACAAGGAAAGGCCATCAGCCCACATTTCACCTCAAGCAGATCAAATCTGTGAAAAGATAAAGGCTTGCTACTCTGGTGATCAACTTAGCTCCCCAGTGCACCAAGGGGACTGGAAGTTGGTTAGCTAGCATAAAACTGTTGACCAGGAAAGGGAATGTTTAACATTGGAATTGTGGGAACTTTCTTGGAGTATTTTCAAAATCAGTTGGGTTTTCTCAGGCATGTTCTGCTTGAAAGGGCTGAACTACATAGCTTTCCCAGCCTTCCCAGACCTGGGATACCCTGGTGGCCTTTGAGGTGTAGAACAAGTCCAATCCCTCGGTAAGTATCTCAGTGTCTCCGTCTGCGAACTCAGATGTTAGCACTTGCCACACTTAACATCTCTCTTGCTTTGCAACGGGCCTAGGAAACACATCCACATGACCCGTAGGTCAATATGTAGAGGTGAATGGAAGCAATCCCCCACATCCCACCCCACCCCTAGCACTGGACATTCGTCTGACCTGTGAATTCTAACCACAAAGCACCTTCTGATGGGCTCTGGATCTGGAGGTACAGCAGTGGTCAGGGGAGACCAGCGGGGTGATACTCGGGGTGGGGGGTGGGGGTGGGGGAGGCATTGAGCAAGCAGGGTTTACCGAGGACATCTTTCTCTCAGCTCCTTGCAAAGGGACTGGATATACCAGGTCCCATCCGAAGGACTTCGGTAGGAAACATAGTTATTCACAGTGGCCATCCCCAGCAAGAAGTCAGCGTCATCTGGAATGTAGTGTTTCTGAGGTGGGGGGCCCGCTCCTAAATCGGCTTTTTGCTGCTCTGAGTCAGTCTCAACAGCTACACCTTTTTGGCAGCTGTCCCCCTGGCAGGCCTGAATAAAAAAGATTTTGGGTTTGTCTTTAAGGGAAGGGCACTTCGAACCAGTAAAGTAAGAGGTGAGCTTGGAGATGGGGACTTCTTGCCCATCAATGCCATAAATGATGCCCTTGTCTCCATGGGAGAGGATGCAACAAATAAAGCAGTCCTTGGAACTGTGGTCCGTATTGCGGTAGTATTCCAGAATGTCACAGATTTTTTTCGCTGGGTGGTCATCGAACTGTAGCACCTCAAAATGAAGGTCACGGAAGAGCTTCGTCAAAGCTTCTGAAATGCGAACAAAGAAAACTGATAGCACAACACTCCCCAGACCCCAGCCCAGAGCTGGAGAACACTCCAACTGGGTCTAATACGGGTCAGGTAAGAATTTGAGCCAGAATTTGAAGAACCACCCCCAAACCAAACCCTACTCAAAGGACAAAGAACTGCCCCCAAGAGATTCCCAAGGATGCCATGCTTCATGGAAACAGACTGCCATGCCTTTCCCTTGCGGAGCAGCTGGTGGGATCAGTCAACCTTTTGGTTAGCAGCTAATTGCTTTCACCACTGTGCCATCAAGGCTCCTTTTAAAGAATACCGTTAAAATAAATGTAAGCCCACTACCACAACGTCGATTTGAACTCACATAAACACAGTAGGACAGAGTAGAACTGCCTCTTTGGGTTTCTGAGACTTAAAATCTTTGCAGAAGCAGACAGCCTCATCTTTCCCTCTCGGAGCTACTGGTGGCTTGCCGGTCTTGTGGCTAGAAGCTCAGGATGGAATGTGCTACTCCCCCAGTGCTCTTTCGTCCACAGCTTTATCATTGTAGCTGGTTTCCACAGCTATGAATATTTAATACCATCCATTGAGAACATTCCCAAATCATGAGTCAAGATATGAGTCAAGGAAAAAGTCTACTACAAGATATGCTTGTAAATGATCATGTAGACTTACTAACAAGCTAAGAAATCATTGTATTTCTTAATCAGAAAAAAGTTAAATTTTTTAAAGTGTAGAAATTTATGCTCAAAACCAAAAAAGCAAACTCCCTAGATTCTGACCCATAATAACCCAAGTAGCTGACGTCAAACACATAACCCACAACACCGTCAGAGCCCCTTAATTATTGTACAGTAACTCTTATCTATGGCCTCATTTTAAGATAACAAAGTTGGAACTGCTTGCTCTTCCATTGCTAATAAAGGTGAAGTGATACTTGAGGACAATGCCAAGTTCATGTAATTTGCACTGATCAAATGTATCTGTGGACCAAAGGACACCATGTGAAGTACAACTTGTCCCAAGTATTTAGTTCAACACAAATTATTTTAAATAAAGCCAGCGGGCACTTCCACTATCTCAGGCTAACTAACATCACATTAAAATATCCTTATTTTTTATGCGTGAGCAGAGTGAAGAGTGGTATATGTTCTGTATCTCAAAAACTAGAGCTAGTAGAGGAAAATTAGTAATGTTTTTTTTGAAACAGTATACCCAGAAATAGGTCTAACAGTTGAGGCACCAAAATGCGTGTTGGCCAGTGTAACTTCTGCTGCAGTTAATCGCCCGATTTCTAGAAACACGCCTTCAATAAGTGGTCTTGATGCCAAGGCAGGTTTTTTTCCACCTAGTGCCTAAAGCATTTCACAGAAGCACAGCTGTGCCTAGTCGTCTGGTCTTTGGAAACTAACCTAGTCAGGGAGAGAAGAGAGGGTGGAGCTGAATTAATTACAAATCTTATTGCTGCTTTTAACTTAAGCCTTTTAGTAAGATTGAATTATTTTATACATTGCTTTGAAGAAGAAAAACATTTTAAAAGGATCAGCAAGTTAACAAATATCTAAGCTGCTCTTCATTTTCACAGGGAAATACAGTCGCATCCTTTATTTGTTTGTTAGCATCCGGCCTTGTTAATACAACTTCTGTTTTCTCCCGTTGGATAAAAACATGGGCCTAAGAAATAGTTTGCTTCTCTGTTTTTGGTTATACTATACCTGCATCCACGTGTGTTCCATTCCTATCCTTCATGTTGGAAAGTTTGGACACCTCCTTCCGTGCTTTTTCGAAACTATAATTGTTAAAGATCAAACAGTATCCTCGAGGTTTGCTTTCCATTCGGTAAATGTTGGCTGATGTCTAGAAAATAAATTCCAACCAAAGAGCTGACTCTGTGGCTCGAACACTCGAGATTTCAACCAACAACCCTGAGGAGGACGTTAGGACGATCTCCCCAACCATTGCCCCAGGCATCAAGCTAAACAAGAAGACGTTGCTTTTCCCAATCCTGCTAAACAGACTCTTTCCCTAAAGCCCTCCCTTATTCAGGCCGACCAGGATCTTGGAAAAATTAGGTTGGAAACTTCCTACCTTCTTTATCCTTCAGCCATTCCAATCCCTTTGTCTTTTATTTTTAAATTAAATTTTAATTCATTGGAAACTGAAGAGACCACATTTTAAATATCAGAAAGCCACAGTTAAAATTTGTCTATGATTTTTTTCTATATTTCCCAAAATTCATAATGAAATTCTGCCCCTATTGCTGTATCTGGTAGCTGAAAAAGCTAATGAATGCAATGACAAGCATCTACAAACCAAAGGGAAGGATTCATCGGAAGTTTACAAGTACCTGTAGCTCACTTTTCTGTTGACTTGAAGAGTTAGATATTGTCATATTTTTGAATAACTCCTCCCCTACAAGCAATCAAGAGATTCAACTAAAATGAGACATGGCATGGAAACGACTTTGATAAAGAAACACATAGCACACCCGACAATATCCCATTGCTAGCAAGTCAATTCCTACTCCTGGCAACTCCACAGGACAGAGCAGACCCGTTTCCACTGGGTTTCCAAGACTATACTCTGTTTTTTAACAGTTTGTTAGCTCTTCATCTACATATCATACCATCCAAATAGTTTAATCATATCACGAAGAGTTGTATGTTCATCACCACAATCAATTTTAGAACATTCTCTTCTCCCTTGTCCTCACTGCTGTTGCTATTAGTGTAATCTTTTTTTAATTGTCACAAAAATACACACACAAAACATTCTCCAATTCGACAACTTCTACATGGATAATTTAGTGCCATGGATTATATGCTTCATGTTGTGCAACCATGATTGATATCCTCTTCCAAATTATTCCACCACCATTAACGTAAACTCAATGCCCCCTAAGCAAAAACTCTTCCTCCTTCCCCCATGATAACCATTGGTCAACTTTGGTTTCTGCATCTTAGTATGTTCTTGATAAAAAATTCACATATCATACCCTTCCATAGGAAAGTTGCTTTTTAAAAGAGTTGTATATACATCATCACAATCAGTTCTAGTGCTCCCCCACTCCTGCAGTCATTGTTTGCTCCCCAATTCCCCTCACCCTTCCCAACCTCCCATCCCCATAAACCATTGCGTCATGTATTGTCTCTATGCATCCACTCCTTCTGTGCTTCATAAACTGGGAAACCTAACAGAAACAATAAAAAACAAAAGCAAAATGAAACATAAAGAGGAAAAAATAATAATAGAAAGATAAAAATAAAGAGTAGGAAAGAAAAGGCCACCAGCAATATTTGAAAAGCCAGAGAAGAGCTTTATGTCATGGAACGAGTGAGAAATATTGATGCCTAGAGCAAACGCAGGTTGAGTCAAGAGGGAAGCTAACTGATCAGATATCATCTTGTACCATGATTCGATCCACCGTAATCAAGGTTACTGTCTGTCTGAGAGTAAGTCTGTTTGAGTCCCTTACTTGTGGCTAGAGGAGGTCAATCTGACTAGATACTCCCACTGTCCTCCAGAGCCTTCTGTAAATTGGGTGTTCACAATTTAAGCTCTAATACTTTTCCCTTCGTCGTATTTGGATTTTGTTATCATCATCTTTGGCTCACACAGGCTGGTGTGCTTCTTCTTTGTGCACTTAGTTGACGCCTCACTTAGAGGGCTGCTTGTTTGAATACAAGGCTTTAAGAACCCAGGTCCTAGTCCAATTGATAGGCGGGCACCATCTGCTTTCTTCACCACAGGTTGCTGTAGCACCCTTATCTTCAGTGATCTCTTCATGAAGGCAATTATCAAGTAGGACCATGTTATAAGAACTAACTGTTGTTGGGTTGGGGCTAGAATTCATTGGGAGCCCAGAATCCATCTGCTTGTTCATGCATTATGATTGACTCTGGTTTAATTTGATGGTCATATTATGACAAAAACAAAAACCAACAAGAATAATAACAAGAAAAAAGAAAAAAAATGTCAATCATTCCCCTGGAGTATAGGGTGATTGCATTAATACATCATTGATTTAGCCAATGGCATAGAATTTAAGATACTATTGATATGAGGAGTTTATGCAAGTATAGTCCAACGGTGAGCTGCAATCCATGAGTTGTTGCTTTGTACAGATTTATTTCTTAATTGATTGAGCTCTGTTTACATTGAGCATGGGGATTGGTACTAGGGAAATCCTCCGGTAACATTCCTTATAAGGGCAAATCCTTGCCTATCCGGTTAATACCTATCATAATAATGCAAGGGGAGTATTGAAATACTAAATATATGGTGGTTCTGGGTCCCCTTTCACTGGATGCCCATGAAGCCAGGGTCCCACCCAAGGTCCAATGACTGCCATTTCCACAGGCTTGGTATGGACATCCTTTGCTTCCTCTCCCATCATGAAATTCAATCCGAAGTCCAAGGGCTACTGATAGTTGAGGTGGGGTCCAGTTCACTCACTCAGGCGTCCACATCGAGTCCTTCTGCGGCCCTTGTGTGCCCTGTAAAGGTGGCATCTGGAGTCATCATAGTGCTTAACCCATGGTGTGATTCCCCAAAGGTGCGGGGGGCGAGGGGGGGGCAGTTATTCAAAGTATCTCCCCAGAACATACAGCTGGTTTTATTCTCCCTTTATGTTCCCTTTCTTGTTTAGCATCTCTTCCTGATGTAGATTGCTCCTCCCCCTTTACCCACCATAGCCACCAACAGAAATGTCAGTGCCTCCTCTGAACTGCAGATGCTCCCCACCACTGGCCAACTTGATTTTCCAAAAAGATTCTCCTCGCATTCCTGTGGAGGGCCTGTTGATTTGTTGAAGTTTGTCTCAATGTTGTATGGCATCCAGTGGATGATCCTCTCCCTTTACCCCCTTCGTGAAGGAGTGACCCCACCCATTGTGAGGTGGGGTCAACTCTTTCAGGGTAGATTTTCTGATGTGCATATAAGGCAAGCATTGATGTTTGGTTCCTGGCTTGTAGGCAGGTTTTCTACCCTTTGTCGGGGAACTGCTCTCTAAGAGTTGTTTAATTGGTGTTTCTCCTTATAATAGTGGACTCATAAACTATGTATCCTTTTGTGATTGGCTAACTTCAGTCAGCATAATGGGCTCCAGGTCCTTCCATGCCATGCGGGGTTTCATGCTTTCAGCACTGTTTTGGGGGATGCGTAGTGTTCCATTATGTGTGTACATACCACAGTTTCTTTATCCATTCTTCCACTCTTGGGCTGCTTCCAGTTTCTTGCTATTGTGAACTCTGCTGCTATGAACATGGGAGAGCATACATCCACTCATGTTGTATCTCAATACTTTGGGGTATATGCCTATTTGGAATTGCTGGATCATATGGGATTTCAAGCCCCAATTGCTTGAAGTATCGTCATATCACTTTCCATCATGGTCGTATATGTTTACAAGTCCACCAACAGTGTATCCAAGATCTATTCTCTCCACAACCTCTCCAAACTTTCCTGTGTTCTGTTTAGTTTTGTTTTTAATTGGGCTAGCATTGAGTGTAAGGTTGTGTTTTTAATTTGAATTTCTAAAATGGCTAGTCCTGCTGAATATTTTTTCATGTGTTTTGTAGCCATTTGTACTTCATTTTTGGTCACTTCTTAACTTGGTCCCTGGTTATTTTCTTATCGATCTGTTGCCGAGTTCTGTAGATTTTGGTAATTAGACTCTTGTTTGATGTGTCATTAGTTAAAAAAAAAAAAAAAAGAATTCGCAACCTGTGGGTTCTCCTTTTACTCCTTTGATTCAGTCTTTTGATGTGCATAAATGATGGGAATTCAGCATGTCCCAGCCCTCCATCTTGTCTTCTGCTGAGTGTGTCTCCACCATTATACTTGGTCGTCTCTCTATGTCCTGCAATAGGGCTCTTGCGCTTGTTCCAGTTTTCTCATTGATGACCATGATAGCTCTGGAGTTTACACTCAGGTTTTTAATCCATCTTGAGTTTGTATTTTGTGCGTAGGGAGAGATATGGGTCCTGCTTTATTCTTCTGCATATGGAAATTCAGTTAGTCTGACACCATTTGTTGAAGAGGCTGTCTTTATCCTATTGGATATTTTTAGGTCCTTTGTCAAAGATTAGTTGCCTTTAGGTGATGCATTTATATCTGGGCTTCCTTTTCTGATCCACTGGGCTATGTATCTCTTGTTTTACCAGTCCCAGGTTGTTTTGACTACTGTGGTTATGTAATCAGGGTTAGTCAACCCAGTAGGTCTACAAGAGACACCCAGTACACACAAAGACAGGCAGTGGGTAAACAAAGGAGAGGAGATTTGATAGATAGATAGATAGATAGATAGATAGATAGATAGATAGATATGAAAAAGAACAAGAATGGCAACATTGCCTCTGAGAAAATAGACTTGAAGGCAAAATCCACCATAAAAGATCAGAAAGGGCATTAAATATGAATGAAGGGTCAATCCACTAAGAGGGCATAATCATCATAATTATGAAGGTAAGTAAAAAAGTGATTACTTCAAAATCATAGGAATCTTTATTAAACAAAAATATCAAAATATGAAACATTTCCTCCATCTATGTCTATGCACTTCTGAAGGGGCGAATTTTTCCTCTAAGAATTCTATGCTGCTCAGTTGATATCATATCTAATGATATCATATCAGAATCCAGATACCCAGAATATTCAATGGGCAGAACACATGGGAGGAAAAACAAGTGAAAGAGAGAGAGGAGCAGGCAGGTCGGGTGGAAAGAAGGCAGGTAGGCAGGAACCCCAAAATGTAGGCAGGCCAGCATGACTGACATGCTCTGCACCCTACTTCACACTGGTCAGCCAGCCTGTGGGCCGGGGCCTGCAGACGATTCTTCTGAGTCCTTCCGTGTGTCAAGCAGGTGACAACACGTAGCACCAGGGTTCGTCCTGATGTTAGGAGAGAAAGTCTACAGAAATGTAGACGTGGAGAAAGCTTGGGGAGGCGAGGCAGGAGGCTATCTGAGAGTAAATCAAGTAATCAAACAGTGAAAATTTAACTCCAAGAATTACCATTTGAACATCCATCCAGATTCTTCTCAGGGTGATTTCTTCTCTCTGAATTAAAAAAAGAGACCCACCCCACCAGGTTTGATTAGAAGCAGTTGCAGCATCGAAGGATTTGTCATCTAAGAACACTTTTTTTGCCATCAGGTCATTTCTACCTTCATTTAACATTTCATAAGCGTTAATTTTCTTCAACAAGCTCTGATTGATCAGACCAAAGATATTCTTCAGGAGGTCCAACTTTTCTTTTCCAAGCATGTCCCTCTTCTCCATCTCTACAAAAATGTCGAGCAGGGTCTAAGAGGAGGAGAAACAAAGTGGGAAAAGTGGATTGGGCAGTGCTGGTTTTTAGATTAGATTATTTTACTTCCTCTTGCTCTGAACCAAAGGCCCTCTCTGGCTTCCCACTTAGATTCTCCTGAGAGGGCCTGCTGGTCTTACAAAGCCAATGTGCACCCAGGGCTGGGGAGAGAGTGGGTCTGTGCTGGCTGGCCCCAGAAGGACACGTATGAGAGATAGCCTCACCCTGTCCCCAGGCCGAGTCAACAGCCTCTGGCTGCCTTTGTGTGAGAACTGGGAAGCAGCCTGAGGTGCGTGACTGACACACAGCAGCAGATCTCCAGAATGAAGGCGATGGGGACAGCTTCACGCCTCAACTTTGTCTCTGGCAACCAAGCCACCTCCAGGCCTGAGTTGCCCCCCTTCCTCCCTGACACTCCCCTCACTCCCATGCCCATCTGCCTCATTTCTAAGTTTCATGTTGTTTCAAAAAAAGCAACAATTCACATACAGGGATTCTATTGCAACTCATAGTGACCCTCTAGGGCAGGATAGAACTGTCTCTATGGCTTTCTAACGGCTGACCCCCGTGGTTAGCAGCCAAATGTATACCTCACCACACCAACAGAGCTCCTATAGAAAAACACAGCAGGCAATTGCCTCAGGCCCAGGATTGTTTGAACACTGCAAGACTCAAGCTGGGCTGTGCCCCAACCACCCACCCGCCTTCTCTCCCGGCTCCTGGTGAGGAATGTGAGCGGTACTTTACAATCTACAAAGGCCTCATGCCTACACCAGAATGCCTGGCAACTGTCTTTGCCCCTGGTTAAAAAGTCAGACTCTAGGCTACTTGTTCTCAGCGTCTTCCTCCTCCATCTCAGAAACCCCACACTTCCTGACCAGTTCCCAGGAAGGAACCTTGGCGGGATCATACTCTTACCGCATGATCGCCCAGTTTCTCTTTGGAAATCTTCTGGTTCAGATAAAACTTGAAGGCCTTTAATTCTTCTGAGCTCACGTCGTCAAAAATCTGAAAAAGCATGACTCTGTAACAGGAAATGAAGATACTTCAGAAATATCCCCTGAAATCATTCCCATTGGATATATGGTATCACAGTAGACCAATTCCAGTGGCCTCCCTGGACAATAGCTGTATTAGACAGGGTCCTCTGGGAAAACAAAACCAGGACACTAATAATGTTATATATATTTATGTAGATAGATAACATAAGAAATAAAGTTAATTAATCTATAAAGCAGTACAAATGGCTCAGTGCAACTCATTTCCGTGAGATAGCTAGTCCACTGGCAGTCCTTCAAGTCTTGAGGGCTGAGGGGTAGTCCTCCGTGAAGCAATTCAGGCTATCTGGCCACAGGCAGCAAACAGCAAGCAGGTCACCAACAGTCAGCCAGATGACAGGGTCCAACAGTCCCCAGCTCAAGAGATGTACCTTCCAATAGCGTGACGAAGCAAGACTTGAAGGAACCTCAAGTTACAGCAACACAGTCCACGGGTTAGGTGTCCCACAGATAGTGTAGCTTGCAAATTGAGGGGCAGAACAAGCAAGGCAGCCGCACACTGGTCCAATGATCAAAGAGCAAGAGAGAGAGAGGCGAGACTCACTGAGCCATTTATCTCTCTGCCCTTCAACTAATCTCACATGTGTTCATTGACCATGTTGGCGCAACAAACCTACCTGTCACAACAGCCATGATGTATAAGTTGAGTCTTTGTAAAGAGCCTGTCAGTATGACACCGAAAGCAACTGGCTAGTGTCCCACTACAGAGCCCTAGCACAATGGTTAAGAACTACTAATGAAAGGTTGACCATTTGAATCCACAACCTCTGCTGGTGCTGCGGAAGACAGGTCTGGCAATCCGTTCCCATAAAGATGATAACCTAGGAACCCCAGTGAGGCAGTTCCACTCCGTCATATGGAGCTGCTCTGCCTTGAAATCAGCTCAAAGGCACCCAACAATAACCACAGGAAATGTTGTTAAGTGCACACATGAAAAAAGAGGGGAGAATTGTGGTCGGCACCTTAACACAGCACCTCCAGCAGCTAGAACAGTCAACAACATAATCCTTCCTTCAGCAAAAGAAAAGAAACCATAACAATTAGAGTGGAGTAAACGAACTGGAAAACAGAAGACCAGAAGAAACAGACAAGAAACTCCCAACTGAAAAAGCCCCAGTCCAGATGGCTTCACAGGAGTATTCTACCAAGCATTCAGAGATGAGCTGACATTAATCCGACACAAACTCTTCCAGAAAAGAGAAAGGGACAGAAAACTCCCGAACTCATTCTATGAATCCAGCATAACCCTCATACCAAAACCAGGCAAGGATTCACAAGGATAGAGGATTACAGCCTGATATTTCTCAGAGACACAGATGCAAAAATCCTCAACAAAATTTGGCCAATAGAACCCATCAACATATCAAAAAACAATACATCATGACCAATTGGGATTCATACCAGGGACTCAGGGATGGTTCAACATTTGAGAAACAATGTAATCCACCACATCAACAAGAAAAAAGGACAAGAACTATATGATCATATCAATTGATCCAGAAGAAGCATTTGATAACTTCCAAAACTCATTCCTAATAAAGATTCTCAAGAAGATAGGATTAGAAGGTAAAATCCTCAATACAATAAAAGCCATACACGAAAAAACTAATAGCCAATTTCATACTGAATAGAGAAAAGCTGATAACATTTCCACTGAATAAGGGAACCAACGAGGATGTTCTTTTTTTTTTTTCTTTCTTTTAAAAAAATCATTTTATTGGGGGCTCATACAACTGTTATCCCAATCCATACACACATCAATTGTGTAAAGCGCA